CGCCCCCCGCTCCACCTCATGCTGCCATAAGGATTAACTACGGAGAAGCCAGCACTGGCCCAAAAAATGAGCTAATAAGCATTCTCATTAGTCCTAGGCACTGGAGGAATTCAAAGTGCAAGGGAGAAATAGTTTGTTCATCTTTAGGTAAGATCCTTTGCAACCCAACCTCAAAGAAAAGTGCTGGCACAAAGAAAGTAAGCAAGCAAGGCAGAGCTGGGGAGGGGACACCAGGAGCAAATGGGGAGTGGAATGCCTGAGTCCTGCTTCCTGTTGTCAGATGGCGCCTGAATGTGCTTTCTGTTGGGTGATGCTTGTATAGCTGCGCTGTGAGATGCAGGAGAAAGGGGTGAATGTAAACTGTGGGTGGGTTTGGGCTGAAAATACTGTTTGTTGCCAAGGAAACACAAGGAACGATTCATAAGGCTAGGATATTGATTTCAAAAACTCTGAGAACTAAGGTTGATCTCTCACTGTTTCCTAAAACCCCCAATTGTGCTGAGACAACTGATTACACATCAGCATTGCCAACGCAAAAGAAACCTGAATGCCCACGCATCAACACCACTCACCGTTAACAAGCAGAAGGATGCGCGCCATGTGGCTTCCAACCACAACGTTTCCACGTTTCTTTTGATTTCATCTGCTAAATAACCTAGAAAACTTGGCCACTCAAGAAAGAGACATTGCAAGAGTGGCAGCCAGTTTTTCTCTTTGAAAAGCTCGATGCTTAAACAGGAGGCTGCAATCTGCCAACATTCAACAGCAGCCCCAGAACACTAATGATCAGACACCTCCAACCTTACCAGTAATGCTCAGAGTACATTCTCAGCGGACTCAGCCCTTTCGCACAAACTCAGTCATAACCCCTGGAGCCGCGTTTCTTTTGTTAACTTTTAGTGAGGATATTGCTAAAGTCAATTTAACCCTAAAATCAGATCTTATTGTACCACAACATTTTTAGGGAGACTTTGGTTCCTTAGAGATAATAAGGCAGAAAAATACTATAAAGCCTTGAACATAGACAAAGAATGTGGCCCTAAAGAGTGACCTATAACTTGTGGTAAGGCTAAGTGTTCAACGTGGTTTTGAGTGGTGGCTGCTCTTGAATGTATGTGTTCTTTTACCACACACTCCACAGAAGTTCTAACTCTTACAGTGAGCCAAAAGTCTGTTAAAATAGTAACAAGGAAGGTGTACACACACACACACACACTTTGTTGAGTTTCTTGGAAACCCAACAGCTCAGAGTATGGCCTTAGGTCACTTAGTAAACCTTTTGAAATAAAGGCCAAGCAATTGTCTTTTAGGGGAGCAGCTAACCTCAGGAGCCACGGAGGTTAGGTCCCTTATGACAAACTTCTGGTCTCTGTGGACCCCTTACAAAGTAGGAGTCTAATGGGGTTCCACACGCGGCCTAACAGAAATGGAGCCATCCGTCTCTCCACACTAGATTCCATTGTGAAGACCACATTTACTGCAATATAAATGTGCTAATTACAAAATTGGGTAAAGGTTCTCCATGTCTTAAGGCATTTGTCTCAAATGATTTTCAAGCTTAATACTTGTTTTCAGCTTAGGATTCTTATGAAAACAAAATCCTTTATTAACCACACCTACACAAATCCCCCAAACCCTGAAATGGTAGCCTTTGAAAGTTGGCACAAGGATCCAAGGCACAATCATAACATGTACATGTGTGAAAACTGAGAATTCTGTTCATTTTAGCACTTCACAGGACCCCAGTGAGAACACCTTTACTGGAAGGCATCAGGAAAGGCTCCCCCTAAGGAACCGGTATGCTTCTGACCTACTGATAGGGCAGTGCATAACTTCTTTCCCTTCCCTTAGCCTTGGTTCCAGAAAGTTCCAGAATCAAATTTTACATACAATAATGTATGTAAACCCTCCTTTCAATTTTCATTTGTTTTTCTTCCCTTTCTGTTCATATTTCATTAACATGGTTGTATATGTCTTTTCTTGGTATGCTGCTTCAAGTGCTTTTGGGAAAGAGGCCAGGTATTAATGTAAATACATTTCAAATACAGACCAAAAAAAAAGCAAGCAAATATTGCAATTATTTTGAGTATATAAAAGAGGGTATCTTTGCTCTCATGGTATACCTTAATCAAAAAGCAGTATTGAGGAATTATCTAAATTAAAATGCACCTCTTAGGATAAAATATCCCAGCAGCAGGCCTGTACTCACCAATTTCAGAACCCCTCAATTCCTTGGCTTTACCAAGAACAGTCATATTGCCTGAATATAACACTGGTCACCTTCATTAGTTCCATGCTAGTGCAAAGAGCCCTGCACTAGATCAGGGTTGTGTGTGCTTAGCTATGTGAACTGGGTAAGTCATTACCATCTCATCACTTCTGTGTCCTCCCCCTTAGAATGAGGGCAGCTACTACTGTAGCTCCTATGCTACAAAACTCACTATGAGGAGGTCAACTCAGGCTTGTTCTTAGAAGTAGAAGTGCAATATAAAATATAAGATCATACACCATGAAGGCCTAATGTGATTCTTTCTAAAGAGCCTAAGGACTTTTTTTTGAGACAGTCTCACTCTGTCACCCAGGCTGGAGTGCAATGGCGCAATCTTGGCTCACTGCAACCTCTGCCTCCCGGATTCAACCGATTCTCCTGCCTCAGCCTCCCAAGTAGCTGGTACTACAGGTGCCCGCCACCACGCCTAGCTTATTTTTTTGGTATTTTTAGAAGAGAAGGGGTTTCACTATGTCGGCCAGGCTGGTCTCGAACTCCTAACCTCATGATCCACCCACCTCGAGCTTCCAAAGTGCTGGGATTACAGGCATGAACCACCGTGCCTGGCCAGGACTTCTTTACACCGATTTCTTTTTCTAAATTCAGTTCTTTTTTTGGCAACATGATACAGTAGGGAAATGATATAAACACGGAGATATAGGCACCAAATAATGAAACATTTCTATACATAAAACATTTATACTTTTCATTTTTTTACATTAAGATGTAAACATCCTCTTATTCAAAATAGCCAGTGAAAAAATAAAAACAAAAACAAAGTAAGCCTTTAAAAATAGTTGGTGAGGAGTTTTCAAGTGTTCTTGCTGAATGTATCTGAATACCAAACATTGTAACTGGTCAATTCAATGACAAGGAGGTAGCTCCTAAACCAAACCAGTGCGAGCTGTGTCAATACAGAGCCAAATCTCAATTAACCAGAACGCTCCAACTTCCCTATTTACAAGAAAACTCTGTTTTAACCATTAGTTTAGAAAATCTTTTTTTTTTTTTTTTCTTTTTGGAGACAGAGTCTTGCTCTGTTGGCCAGGCTGGAGTGCAGTGGCATGATCTTGGCTCACTGCAACCTCTACCTCCTGGGTTCAAGCAATTCTCCTGCCTCAGCCTCCCGAGTAGCTGGGACTAAAGGGACGCGCCACCGTTCCCAGCTTTTTGTATTTTTAGTAGAGATGAGGTTTCACCATGTTGGCCAGGCTAGTTCTCAAACTCCCAGTCTCAAGTGATCTGCCTGCCTCAGCCTCCCGATGTGCTGGGATTACAGGCGCGAGCCACCGTGCCTGGCTTGACAACCTTTCTAAATTGAACCACTTCACTTTCCTGGCTACAAAATGCCCAACACAATTCAATGGTGTTCTGATGATTCAGGATATTGTGATGCCTTGGGGTATCTCTCAGAATATGTATACTTTTGTTAGAGCAGAAAACTGGAGCAAACTATAGTTTCCTGTTTTACATGAATCCCTGATATCATAAGCTTACTGTCTTTTTACCTCACTCTCCTAAAAGGAGGGTGCAGACTAACATTCTAGTTAAGCAAGATTTTTACAGTTCTAGACATATCCACAAATACTGGTTCACGCAAACAAGACAGTTCACTAACTTTGCCCTCTGGACTATTTCTTCTAATTAATCAATATGCCCAGTAACAACAATTACAATGTAATGGGATCTGTTTTTCTGGATGATACCCAATTTCAGCATCCTTTGAATTCCTTGTTTGAAATATTTTCTTTAAAAAACAAAGGAAAATCACTCATGAAGATGACTTCCAAAACCATGAGAGTTACAGATTTTGCTAATGGAATCACACTGTGCTTCCTATATTATTAATTCATAACTGCTTAAACAATCTTTAAAACGTTATCAAAAAGCAAGTAAGTTATCTCAGATACTAGGGGCTTAATTCCTCAAAGCCATAAAATAATGAGTTGCTAGGAAAGCTACCTTCTGATTCTTAGTACAGTCAAGCATTTCCATAGTGCAGGACCCATGCCACTGGTGGCAAACAAGATGTCTTTAAGTGGTGCACAACACAGAATAATGCTGAATCACAATGAGAACGTCATTCCCTTTACAGTTTCCTTTCATCCTCTGACTATTCCAAAGACAGTGCCTCATGCTGGTGCTGGTAACATCTCCCTCACTGCCACAAAGCGCGAGCCTAAGATTCGGAGCCTTTCTAGGCATTGGTTTCTAGCTAGAACTGAAAAACATTTTTTGTGTTCGTCTTATTTATTTTGTGGTTACCTTTTATTTACGGCAAACTGATACTGGTTTTCCACTTGGAGCAGGATTCGTTTTTTAAAAAACCTTTAAAATATAAAAGATAAATATTAAGAAAATAATACAAGTAGTACTCAAGAGACTGAAGTTTGGGAAACAACAGCTATAGTCTAATAAGTCATAGTTTTTAGACATGATTTCAAAAGAAACAATAAACATGGATTAGAAAGGAAACATCCATTACTGTATTTTCAATACTTGTGATGTTCCAGAGACGAGTTCATCACAGCCTTCTTCTACATCAGGTGATTTCCAGAGTTAAGATTCAAGCAAAAATATAAAAGTAAAAAGAACCAATTTCACACCATCTTGGACTTTATAAACTCTTAGTACCATAAATGTGCAAATCTGATGTCTATATTGATATCAGATAAATATCAAAATATTTCAAAGCAAAGAAAATATTTGCACATTGCAACAATGTAAAATCTGATATTTATCACAGTCATTTATTTAAAACATAAACTTTCCAATTTCTGCAGCTTTTTATTTGGTCTATACTAATGCCTCACAAAGGCAAACTCAGATTGTAGAGTTCCTCCTGCCTGGTCCTCAGAGCAATACCACATCTATTTTCTGAACTCTTCAGGAAGGATTCAGGACGGCTGGCCAAGTCTTCCAATGGCATATGACTATTCTTCCACTGTTACGGCCTTGAAGAGAGAAATCTTCTCCTCTGAATGATAATCTCATGGCCAGCATTCTTCTGAGAGGACTTTTCCTAGAAGGTCTTCCATGCTCACAGGCACACCATGCTGATTTTAAAAAAGGAAAGTTCGAGAGAAAGAAAGCAGAGCTTCTCCTTTGTGGGGAACAGCTTCTTCATCACAGTGGCAGTTATGATATGTTCCCTCCTTTTCTCCCTGAAGCCAAGGCAATAGATCTGAAGAATGGTGTCAGACATCATAATCGGGAGCCTTGCCCTGGGCTTGCCTTAGCCAGATCTGTAGTGTAACAAATGCTCCCACAGTCACATGAAAGAAAAGCTGCCAGAGGTTGCGCAGTTCATAGAGATACATGTTGCATAGACATATTAAGCCAAAAGTCAAAAAAGATTTGACATTCCTCCAGCCGGTGTAGTAGACAAGTAAATAACACTGTTCAAAATATAAAAATGAAAGATGATTAGTGTTACAGGAAAAGAAACAGGTATTTCTAATATAAAATTGTAACAGGCCAGAGAGTAAAATACAAGAATGGATAAGGTTATTTTTTTATCTAGGGATAAGATAATGTAGCATATATCTAAGACATTCAGCTATGAAAGTTCCACAGTTTGAAAGGGACATAGACTTTTCCTCTTACGTTTTTCATTTTTCAGAAGAAAAGCATTTTGTATGATATTTTAAATGGAAGTGCAATGGAATGATTCCCTTGTAAACAGGCTGGGCAAATTCCCCATGGTGACAGGCAACTAAGAAGCATTCCCAGGGTCTGCAGGGGTTCCATTCTCACCCAGGAAAATACAAAAAGTGCATACAAGCTATTCTACAAAATGGACTCTTATACAACCTGAGTCTGAGTATTAATGAAATCCACAACATTTTACTAGTCCCCCAGTGAACACAAGGAACTATGCTAGGTACAGCATCTGACTGAACATTTGAGGGAGAATTCACTCAACAAATATTTACTGAGGGCCTGCTACAAGTCAGACATTGTTCTTCAGTTGTGAGTAAAACAAAGCCCTTGCTCATATAGATATTAAATTTTAATGGAGAAAAATTATAGATGTATTTTAAATACATAATATCAAATAGTTATGTCTTGAAAAAGAGATAGCAGGAAAAAGGGATAGAGAAGGATAAGAATGATAGTGGGTGCTATTTTAGATGAAACAGTAAAGAAAGTACTCTCCCTCACCGCCCCTGCTTATCCTCACATTCACCCTTTACTGCTTTATTTTTCTCCACAACATACTATAAACATACTTGAGAAATGTGCTTATTTTGTTTGTCATCCATAGGCTTTCAATAGAATCTATGTTTCATGAGGGGTGAGATTTTTTACTGTTATTTCCTCATTTATCTCCAGTGCCCAGAACAGTGCCTGGGACACAGTAAGTGCTCAATGTGTTGAGTGAATAAACTGTTTTCTAGAAGATGTCTAAAACTCACAACCTGGTAAGTGTAGGAATCACAAAGTCTAAGGAGAGAGGCCCAGGTCTCTCTGGGGAACTGTATCCAGGCTTCAGAATGGGAAGGACATTCCAGTGTCTGTTACAATGCAGAAAGAATGTGGAAATGTTCTGTTAAATATGTTTAGTTCTTATATAAATTTGGACTGTTTACTTAAGAAGAAGACTGCTATCCAAGCAAAATGAATTGGAAGTATTTATCACTGATTTTCATCATATAAGATTGAAGAAATAGAAAAAAATAACTTTTTCTTTTGAAATAATTTTAGACTTATAGATGCAAAAATAGTTCCTGTATACTCTTCACCCTGTTTCCAGTTATCCTCTTATTTAATCATAGTATAATCATCATGTAATCATGTAATCATCATGCAATCATAGTATCCTCATCAAACCAGGAGATGAACATTGATTCAATACTCTTAGCTAATCTACAGACTTTATTCAGATTTTGCCAACTGTCCCACTAGATTTCTGGTCCAGAATCTAATCTGGGATTCTGTATTGCATTAGTTGTCATGTCTATTCCAATCTGTAACAGCTCCTCTATCTTTTTTAAACAAAAAAAAGTTTCACATCCTTGACAGTCCTGAAGAGTAGTAATCAGTTATGTTGTAGGAATGTCCCTCAACTTGGGTGTGTCTGATGTTTTGTCAAGATTGAAATGAGGTTATACAATTTTGGCAAGAATACCACAGAGGTGATATGCAATACATGTTACTACATGTTAAATTAGATCACTTAATAAGGTGGTATCTATTCTCTCTGCAATTATTGTCTTTGGGGCAGGGAGTTGAGATTATGTGAATATCTTATCTTATCATACTTTTGCCCATTAATTTTAGTATCCATTAATGATTCTTGCCTGCAACAATGATTACTGTGGTGTTCGCTTAATGGTGATTTTATATTTCCAGTTTTTATCTATACTTATTGCTTGGAATGCTACTGTAAAAATGAGCTAGCTTTTCCAGTAATTAAAAAAAAAAAAAATATATATATATATATATATAAAATTCATGGTTTTCCAGGGCTTTTTAAAATAATGGGTCTCTACCCCACATAATACTTATTACAAAGAAGAAAAAGATATCTTTGCAATGGGGATCTGGTAGACACCATCTTAACCAAATGATTAAACTTATCACGTTTCCTGACTGAAGCAACAAGAGATATTCAACCCATATAGCACTGTTGCCAGAATATTTCACCTTAATCTAATCACGAGGAACAGAGACTAATCCAGATTATGGGTCATTCTATATGGTACTTGCCTGAACCCTTAAAAAAGTCAGTGTTATGAAAGACAAAACCAAAATAAAACAGAACAACAACAAAAAGGCTGGGAGACTGTATCACAGACCAAAAACTACACAACAATCAAATGAAATGCATAATCCTGGATCGGGGAAATATAACCACAGAAAACATTTTGGAGACAACTGAAATAATCTGAATAGGAATCCTATATTAGATAACATTGTATCAATGTTAAATTTTTAGACGTGATATGAAGTCCTGGCTATGTAGAAAGATGTCTGTGTTCTCAGAAGATACATCATGAAGTATTTTAAGGTAAAAAATATCACGTCTGTATCTTACTTTAAAAACAACTGCTCAGGGACTTCTGTTTCTGGGAAGATGGAGCAGACACACTTTTCCCTATTTCTCCCACTAAGTATAAATAAAAACACTGGACATTATATGTAAAACAAGCATAAGAAGACTGAACTGTGGAGGAAAAGCAGACAAATAAAGGATCTTGAGATCCAAGAATGACACAGTGGTAGGTTCTCTGAGTTTTCTTTTTTGCTTCATATATCCCAGACTTGGAGCTGAAGAAGCCAGCAACTAGAAACGCCAATGCATGCATATCAAAACAACCAACCAACAACAAAAAAAACCCCTCAGTAACTCAGTAAGATCTTGCTCTCTCTGGTAAAAGACCAGGAAAGCAGCACCTTAGCAAGACAGAAAACTTTTAAACAGTAACTATTATGCTCTAGCCAAACATCACACAAAAAACCTGTGACCCACCCATACCCACACCCATCAAATGTTGAGAGCCTAGAACATTGGAAGCAGATGTTCTAACCCTTCAGCGTGGCTTCAGAGACAGCAGGTAGAAGCCAGGACTTTCGTTCTCACTAGATGGCAATGAATCCCTCCTCTACCCTCTTACTGTGGTATCAGTGGAGAACACGTGGGACTCTGGACATCCATCTTCACTTGACAGTAATAAGATAATTCATTTCTCATCAGTAACAAGACAGTGGGATTCTCATCAGAAACCACAGAGGCCAGAAAAAGAGTAGAACATTTCTCAAGGGCTGAAAGAAAAAAATGCTGCCAAATTCAGAATTCTGTATTCAACAAAAATATCCTTTAGGAATAAAAGGAAAATTAAAAACATTTATCAGATGAAAGATTAAGATAATTTGTTGCTAGCAGATCTACCATAAAAGAATGGTTAGAGGAAGCTCTCTAAATAGAAAGAAAACAATAAGATGGAATCTTAAAATGTGGGGAAAGAAAAAAGGACATGGTATGCAAAAATATGGGTAAATACAATAGGCTTTCATTTTCCTCTTGAGTTTTCCAAATTATGTTTGATGGTTAAAACAAAAATCATTATAACACTGGCTGATGTGGTTCTAAATATATGTGGAGGAAATATCTGAGCCAATTATAAATAGGGGAGAGCAAAAACACATCTAGGGAGATAAGGTGTCTTGAACTAGTAAAATGTCGACACCAGAAGACCATAAAGAGTTAAGTATGTATTACGTGATGCCTACAGCAATCATTTAAAAAGCTACACAAATAGATATACTAAAAAATACCACAGATAAACTGAAATGGAATTCTTTTAAAATGTTAAAGTAACTCACAGGAAAATAAAGAAAAAAAAAAAGAAAAATGAAAAAAACAAAACAAAAAATAAGCCCTAACATATCCATAATTACATTAACTATAAATGACTTAAGTACAGCAATGAAAAGACAGAGATTGGCAGGGTGGATTAAAAAACATGAATCAACTCTATGCTGTCTGTCAGAAACTCTCTTTAAATAACATAGGAAAGTTAAAAGTAAAGGATGGAAAAGGATATATCATATAAACAGTAATCAAAAGAAAGCAAAAGTGTCTATATTGATACCAGATAAATATCAAAATATTTCAAAGCAAAGAAAATAAACGGGGACAGAGAGGAACATATATAATGATAAATGGGCCCATCCACCAAGAAGACACAGCAATCCTAAATGTGTACGAACAAAACAACATAGCTACAAAATACATGAAGCAATAGAACTGAAATACAAAATGGAAAAATCTATAATCCAATACTCTTTTCTAGCCAACTGGTATAACACTAGACAGAAAATCAGCAAGAATATAGAACTTGAAAATACCAAGCAACACGATCTAAACATTTACAGAACACACTCACCCAATAACAGCAGAATACACATTCTGTTGAAGTGGCTATGGAACATATAACAAGACAGACCATACTTTGGGGCCATAAAAGAAACCTCAACAAATTTAAAAGAAGTGAAATCACACAATGTGTGTTCTCTGATCACAATGGAATCAAACTAGAAATCAGTAATGGTAAGATAACAAGAAAATCTTCAAACATTTAGAAGAGAAACGATGCAATTCTAAATAATCCACAGGTCAAAGAGGAAGTCTTAAGGAAATTTTAAAAATTATTAAGAGAAAATGAAAATAAAACATACCAAATTTATGGAATACAGCTAAAGAAGTGCTAAGACAGAAATCTTTAGGAGTTAGTGCATACATTATAAAAAAGAAAATTCTCAAACCAATCATATAAGCGCCTACTTCAAGAACCTAGAAAAAGAACAAAATAAATGCAAAGCAGGCATATGGAAGAAAATAGTAAAGATAAAAGCAGAAATCAATAAAATTGAAACCAGAAAAACAGCAGGA